AAGACACTCTTGCACATTTATATGAACACGCTACCCTGCATGATTAAAGGAAAACTGGGGCTAAAACCTGATGTGTGTGTGAGGCCAGGCGAGGTGGCTCACGCCTGTAATCCTAGCCACTCTGGGAGCCCCAGGCAGGCGGATTGTTTAGAGCTCAGGAGTTTAGGGCCAGGCCTGAGCAAGGAGAGGTGAGACCCCGTCTCTACTGAAAAAACAGAAAAGCAATTAGCTGGAATAAGGAGGGACAAAAGGCGGCTCGGCGGTGAGAGAGTCACACTGGACCAGGCCCGGGAGGCGGAGGAGTCGCAAACGCTGAGGCTGCCGGGCCAGGGGCGAGGGGCGCAGCCAGCACCATGGTCTGCCATGCATCACGTGAAAAGAACCCAGGCTGCACTGAGAGCAAAACACTGGGTGCTTACGTGCTTTGTGCTGCTGGCTTCCAGAGCACTAATTTCCTAGGGACGGCAGTTGCTAGAGGAAGACCCCCAACCCATAACTTGTGCAGGTGTGCAGTCAGCCCTGAGTTTGTGTTTTTCAATTAAATCTCCTTAGGTTTTCTCAAATAACCTATTCTTTTTTTTTTTGAGACAGAGTCTCGCTTTGTTGCCCAGGCTAGAGTGAGTGCCGTGGCGTCAGCCTAGCTCACAGCAACCTCAGACTCCTGGGCTCAAGCAATCCTCCTGCCTCAGCCTCCCGAGGAGCTGGGACTACAGGCATGTGCCACCATGCCCGGCTGATTTATATATATATATATATATATATTAGTTGGACAATTAATTTCTTTCTGTTTATAGTACAGACAGGGGTCTCGCTCTTGCTCAGGCTGGTTTTGAACTCCTGACCTGGAGCAATCCGCCCGCCTTGGCCTCCCAGAGAGCTAGGATGACAGGCGTGAGCCACCACGCTCGGCCTCAAATAACCTATTCTTAAAACTCAAATGACAAATGTCACATTTGACCTGTGTTTTCTTCTCCTGTTCCTTTCTTTCTCTCTTTTCACTCCCTCCATCACCTGTTGCCCATCCAAGCGCCCATTACTCCCTCTTCCCGAGTGTTTAGCAAGTGCCTCGTAGGTGCCAAGCACAGAGCCAGGCACTGGAATTCCGAAGTGACCAAGACAGTCATGTTTCTGCTCTCACAGATCTTAAGGTCAAATAGTGAACCGGCAACTGAGCAAGAAATAAACAGCACTCAGCTGAGTGCAGTGACAAGAGGGTACAGAGTGTTGCGGGAGTAGGAGAGGGGAGACCGACCAGAAGTTGGGGGCAGGAGAGGAGAGGCTTCCTAGGAAGTGACATCTGAGGGCTGAGTAGGAGTTTGCCAGGTGAGGGTGGATTCCAGGCAGAGGAAATGAAAAGGGTGAAGCCTGGCAGGGAGGAGGGGGCGGCACCTTCCAAGATGGAAATAAATGTCAGTGTGGCCAATCCCAGGAGAAGGAATGGTGAGATAGGATGATGGATGTCAGTGTGGCCAATCCCAGGAGAAGGAATGGTGAGATAGGATATGATATCAGTGGCCATCCCAGGGAAGGAAGGAATAGGATGAGGAGTCAGTGTACCCCATCCAGAAGGTGGTGAATAGGATGAGGATCCAGTGGCATCAGAGAAGAATGGTGAGAAGAGAAGATGCAGTTGGGCCACCAGAAGGGATGGTGAGATGGATGATGAGTCAGTGTGGCCAATCCCAGAAGAATGGGAGACAAGGATATGGATATCAGGGTGCCATCCAGGAAGAAGGGTAGAATAGGAATCGATATCAGGTGCAATCCAGGAAAGGAAGGGTCGATAGGATGATGGATTCATGTGGCCAATTCACCAGAAAGGAATGCGGTGAAAGGATGATGGATGCAGTGGGCCAATCCCAGAGAAGGAAGTGAACAGGATGATGATGTCAGTGTGGCCACCAGGGAGGAAGGGTGATAAGGATATGGATATCATGTGGCCATTCCCAGGAGGAAGGTGAATAGGATGATGGAGCGTGCTGGCAATCAGGAAAGAAGGGGAGAAGATGATGGATGCCATGGCCAATCCCAGTAGAAGGAATGTGAAGTTGGATGATGATGCAGTGTGGCCAATCCAGGAAAGATGGAGATAGGCTATAGACAGTGGGCCAATCCCAGAAAGGATGGTGAGATAGGATGATGGATGCAGGTGTGCCAATCCCCAGGAACAGAATGGTGAGATAGGAGAGGATGTCAGTGTGCCAATCCAGAGAAGGAATGGTGAGACAGGATATGGATGTCAGTGTGGCAACCAGAGAATGAAGGTGAGATAGATGATGGAGTCAGTGTGCCATCCAGGGGAAGGAAGGGAGAAGATGATGGATGCATGTGCCAATCCCAGGAGTAGAAGGTGAGACCAGATATGGATGCAGTGTGGCCAATCCAAGAAGAGGTGAAGATAAGATGATGGAGCAGTGTGGCCATCCCAGAGAAGAATGTGAATAGGATGAGGATTCAGTGTGGCCAATCCAGAAGAATGGTGAGATTAGATAAGGAATCAGTGTGCCACCCAGAAAGGCAAGGGTGAATAGATGATGGATTCAGGCTGGCCAATCCAGGGGAAGAAGGGGAGATAGGATAGGATTCAGTTGCCACCCAGGAGAGGAAGGTAGATAGAGTGATGGATGTCAGTGTGCCAATCCCAGAAGGAATGGGAATAGCATGAGATCAGTGGTGGCCAATCCAGAAGGAATGGTGAGATAATGATGGATTATCCGAGTGGGCCAATCCCAGAGACAGCGAAGGAGATAGGATGATGATCATGTGCCAATCCCAGAGAAGAAGGGTGAGATAGGAATGGATGATCAGTGTGGCCAATCCAGGAGAAGGAAGGTAGATAGGATGAGGAGGTCAAAGGTGGCCAATCCCAGAGAAGGAAGGTGAATAGGAAGATGGAGTCAGGTTGGGCCAGAAGGAAGGGTGAGATAGAAGATTCAGGTGGCCAAATCCAGGAAAGGAAGTGAGATTAGGAGATGATGTCCATGGGCCAACCAGGAGAAGGAAGGTGAGATATGATGAGTCAGTGCCAATCCCAGGAGAAGGAATGGTGAATAGGATAGGAAAGTCAGTGCCCAATCCA